AAGAGAGAGAGGGAGACGGAGACAAACATCGTGAGAGAGTAATATTCATCGGTTGCCTCCAGTACATGCCCCAACCGGGTATGTGCCCCAACTTGAAATTTAACCCGAGACCCTTCGGTGCATGGGATGAAACTCCAACCAACTGCACCACACGGGCCAGGGCTGTGTCCATTTTCTTCGTCCACTAGGCTGTGGCAGCTTAAGGGCAGGGCCAGGGCTAGTGTTCCCCTTTGGCCTCAGGCCCAGTGCCATGCCTGACACTAAATCTTTGTGGACTGTGGGCAGACTACACTGGGTTGGGTCTGGGTGACCTTTTCGGGTACCCCCGTTTCTATTCCAGGCTCTGGTTTCTGTGATGGGAACACCAAGGCAGTGCCCTTTGGGATGCCAAGAAAAGCATGAGCTACCCAGTTTGGCAGAGTCCCTGCATCCTCCACTTCTGAAATGGGGGTGAGCAGTTGAGCAAAGATCCTGGGGCTTTCAAGCACTCTGTCAACTTTTCTGGACTAAGAAGCCTCTCTGGACGGCAGGGCTGGGTTGGGAGAGATGGTTGGAAAAGCCAGGCTTCTCCAGCGACAGCCAGTCCTGGCTGGGAGCCACCCTCAATGCAGGACAAAGCAGAAATAGAAACGTACAGGCTGAGGCCACCACATATCATCACATATCCTCGGTGCGGAAGGGGAGCACCAGCATGACCCTGCTCCAGGCTGCCCCGTCCAGGCTGGCTGAGCCCCATACAACCCGTAGGCCCTGCTCTGCAGTTTCAGTTGCATGAAGGCAGTTTCCAAAATGGAGTGGGCCTGGCTCCAGGAAGGCGATGGAAGGGAGGCTCCCACCCCAACTGTGGTTTCTGCAGGGAGTGGCTCGCTGGCCATTCTGGGGCCACATGAGAGAAGCCATTTAGGCCACGAATAGATGAGGGGAATGGGGCGTCTCCTCTGGTCTTGCGGCCCCTGTCAGTGTCTGATGTGGTGTCCTGCTCCCTTTCACTTTCTCGCTGGGCTGGGCCCGATGTGTCCTGGAACCTTGAGAACCAGCGCTAAGTAAGGCAGGCTGTTCGCCCTCAGGGAGTCCACACAGGAGTGGGAGAAGCAGACACACAAACTCTTAGCTGCAGGGAGTCTGTCCAGGGGGTGGGCATGCAAAGGCGAAGACTTCACAAGAGGTGACTGGGAGCTGAACCTGCTGAAAGAATAGGATTTTCCAGGTGGCAAGGAAGGGGGAGGAGGCAGCCTGCGCCAGATCCTGGAGGTGTGGACAGGTACCGTATGTTGGGAGAATGAGTGAGCCTGAGCACAGCTAGGGACCAGAGGAGGTAGAGGTCACACCAGGGCCTTGGGACCCCAATACAGTTTCTGTCCTGGGTTAGCGCTCAGCCTCCCCAGGTGGTGGTCAGCACATCTCAGGATCGGGGTGGAGGCACCTGTAGTGTCCCGCCATCATCCTGCCCACTCCCTCTGACGCCCACTCCCTCTGACGCCCACTCCCTCTGACGCCCACTCCCTCTGATGCCCATTTTTCTATTTTTGGCAGAGTGACCAGGAGCCATGATGTTTACACCCATATGAGCCGAGTCAGCTGACCAGGAGCCATGATGTTTACACCCATATGAGCCGAGTCAGCAGATTTAAATTTCAGACGTCTTCAAAAAAGAAGTCAGGGTGACAGCTAGCAGCTTCCTGAAATTCTGAGATCAGAGGAAATGTTGACTTAGAGCCCTAGTGGGGGTTGGAGGGAGGATACCAACTGAGCTGGGTCCCAGTCGAGGGGTTCCTAGGACACTTGGCTTCTAACCCAGAGATCTCAGCCCTGGCTGGGAAGAACCTTTGAACAGCTTTATTGGGGTGTAATTTGCATACCACTAGATTTGCTGTCACCAAAAGACAGTTCAGTGATTTTGAGTAAATTTACACAGTTGTGCAGTCATCACAACTCAGTTCTAGATTCCCATCACCCAGAGCTCTTGTGACTGTTTACAGTCAACCCCTCTCTGCAGCTACCATCCCAGGTTAACCACTAACTGCTGTCTTGATAGGATTGCCTTTGCAGACCTTTCCTATGAAAGAGATCATATAAAATGTAGTCTTTATGTCTTGCCTCTTATATTTTGCATAATGTATTTGAGATTCATACATGTGCATAGCATGTATCAGGAGTTCATACTTTTTATACTGTTGGACAGTATCCCATTGTATAGGTATATGCATTTTGTTTATCGGTTTACCAGCTGGTGGACATTTGGGTTGTTTGCACTATTATGAATAAAGCTGCTATGAACATTCATGTACAAGTGTCTGTGTGGGCATACATTTTCCTTTTTGTTGGGTGGACAATACAGGATAAGGGTCGGGGCATCTTATCGGGACCTCGGAGTGGAATTGCCGTAGAATAAATTTATGTTTAACTTTATAAGGAACTGCCCAATGTTTTCCAAACCTGTTGCACTATTTTAACATTCCAAGCAGTAGAGTATGAGGGTTCTTGCCAATACTTGTAATTGTTGGTCTTTTTTATTATGTCCTGCTGAGGAACTTTTTTTTTAAAGAACAGTTTATTGATTTTTTAGAGAGAAACATGGGTGTGAGTGCTCAACAACAATCAGCTGCCTCCTGCACGCCCCCAACCAGGGATCGAGCCAGCAACCCGGGCATGTGATCAGGAACCCAACTAACAACCTCCTGGGGCACCAGCGAGGGCCTGCTGACAAACACTCACTGATACCCGGGCTCCATCAAACCAATTAAACCAGAATCTTGGGGTTCAGGGCCTAGGCATAGGTATTCAAAACAGAATAGAACAAAGCCAAAGCCACCCTACCTAAAAGCTGCTCGTGTGCAAAGGGTTGAGAACAAGTGGCCTAACTTTAAGTCTGATTTCTGTCTCCGGGCACTTAGGGGAGCACATGCTGGCCAGCAGCCTCTCCCACCCCAGGAAGGATATGGGCTTGGGGTGGGAAACAAGCTGCCGCCCAACACCACAGGCACAGGCCCCCGCAGATGGGCCCCCAGAGGAAGGGGCCTGGGATTTCGGCGAGGAGCCAGCGGAGATGCTGAGGGGGAGGGGTGTCTCCCACGACCTTAGGATTGTTCAGGCTCCGAAAGAGATTAAGAAAGTATGACATTCCTGGCTGCAGACCAGCTGCAGATAACCCCAGAGAAATGCCAGGAGATGGTGGTGCCAGCAGGAACTACAGGAAGCTTAGAGGCTCAGGGGATCATCAGGCCAGGGCCACACAGTCTGGGATACAATCTCTTCCTTTCAAAGGGTCTGCAGATGATAATAACCACCATGTTCCATGGACCAGACCCTGTGCTGGGGCTAGGGATACAGCCATGGAGAAGTGTCAGGCTCCCACCCCAGGGAGCTCACAGTCTCCTGGAAGAAGCAGACAAAACAGTTGAACAGAATGCCGGGTAATGATGCTGGAAGGCTCTCGGTGGGGGCTACATTTAAGTAGAGGTCTGAGTGAATGAAGAAAGCTAACTATGCAAAAATCTCTGTGCAAAGGTGTATCTGGTAGAGGGAAGCGTTCATGGAAAGCTTGAGGCTGAGTGAGTTTGGTGGTTTCCAAACAGAGGTAGAGGGTGGAGTAGTAAAGAGGGAGGAGCTAGCTAGACCCTTTCAGCGGTCATGGCCAGAGTCCAGCTTTTATTTTGTGTGCAATGGGGGGAGGGGGCAATGGAGGGTTTTGAGAGGGGTGGTAAAATGCTATAGTTTCTATTTTTAAAGATGGCTTTGGTTAGTGCAGTAAGACTAGAACTACAGGGGCAATAGTGGGGCAGGGAGGTGGGGCAAGTTGTCCAGGTAAAAGATGAAACTGGCTTGCACTAGTGCCGCGGTCGGCAAACTGCGGCTCGCGAGCCACACGCGGCTCTTTGGCCCCTTGAGTGTGGCTCTTCCTAAGCCTTAGGAGTACCCTAATTAAGTTAATAACAATGTACCTACCTATATAGTTTAAGTTTAAAAAATTTGGCTCTCAAAAGAAATTTCAATCGTTGTACTGTTGATATTTGGCTCTGTTGACTAATGAGTTTGCCGACCACTGCGCTAGTGTTGGTGCAAATGGAAGAGAAAGTATAGATGTGGGACATCTTTGGGAGGTGGAGACACAATTATTTGCTGACATGTGGTAGAAAGAAAACAGGAGTTAAACATGACTCCTGTTGTTTTTGACTCAATCGAGCATCTGGGTGGAGGGTGTGCCATGATCTGAGATGGAGAAAACAGAGAGGAGCAGAATTTAGCACTGAGGGTGGGGTGGGAAGGGGGTGATGAATTATGGATCTAGCAGGGTGAAGAGAGGAGGGAAACTGGAGGGCTAAGATGTCCTCATGATTCCTGGATGGAGGGCTGGCAGTCCTTGTCAGATCAAAGTCTGTTTATGTCAGCATTTGTGTAGTATTAGAGCCTCATGGAAAAATTTTCAAGATGCTGGAATGTGTTGGGTGCTTCTTGCAGTCGTTAGGAAGGCCCTGCAAAAAAAGAGAGAGAGAGAGAGAGACACTCAGGCTGAAGATGGTGGCCCATTCTTCTTATCAAAAGAAAAAGTCATGCCCAGCTGGCATGGCTCAGTGATTGGGTGTTGACCTGTGAATCAGGAGGTCACGGCTCTATTCCCAGTCAGGGCATATGCCCAGGTTTTGGGCTCGATCCCCAGTGGGGGGTGTGCAGGAGGCAGTCGATCAATGATTCTCTCTCATCATTGATGTTTCTATCTCGCTCTCCCTCTCCCTTCCTCTCTGAAATCAATAAATATATACTTTCAAAAAGAAAAAGTCAGACCTCTTGCTGCTCCCTCCCTTCCTGTTACTTGGAAATGCTATTACTGGCTTATGAACATCTAGATAGCATTGTTACAGACCTTCCACCCCTTCCTCAACGTAAGGAGAAGCTGGGAGCCCCATGCTGAGTGAATGACTCATAAAAACAAAGAGGGAGGCTGAGAGGGCCATCTCCCAAGGGGCCCCCTGAGTGAGAGTCTGCTAGCAGGCAGGCTGCAAGGGGCATAGGAACTGGGAGGCAGGTGGAGTGTGAAGAAAACAGGAGAAAGAAATCAGAGAGGCCAGTGAGCTGCTGGAGGTCAACATGGGAGCTGAGTGGTAGAGGTGCCAGGGGCAGGGCTTGAAAAGAACCCAGGAGATGGGGAAGCCACGCCCTGTGAGAAGCATTAGAATTCTTGAGTTTCAAACCTGGAAGGGCCTTTGGGGACCAGGTGGCTGTCTCCTTCGACAGAAAAGAGGAACTGGTCTGCAAGGAGGAAATGGGAGAAGGCAAATGGGAAATGGGAGAAGGCAAAAGACCAGGTCTCCAAGGTTTAGACGCCACAGAAAGCTGTCGACAGCTCTGAACTGAACTCAGAAAGCCATAGCCCTTTATTTCCCGTCTCTCCATTTGGTAAATGTCTGCCCCCCAAGGGGACAGTTCTGTCCAACTGCTTTCTTGAAACAAGTGGTCATTCCACCTGTTTGGGAGATATAATCTCCTAGCCTGAATCTGCCCCCTCCCCCACCCAACACACTCTGCCCCTAGTTCTAACTGGGTCCCCTATCACAGGTGCCCAGGCTCACCCATGCTGACCAATACAGGCACATGCATTGCAATGCTCATGGGCTCAGGCAGAGGGAGAGGGTGGAGGTCACTTCCTGAGGGATGGCCAGGGTGGGTGTTGGGGGTGGGAGAAAGGTCAGGATGGGAGATGGGCTGACACAGCTTCTCCAAGCCATGCAGAAATCCAAAGAAAACACAGCTGGAGACAGGGCGAGGGAGTGGGGAGCCAGGCGATACATGTTGACATCTTGGGCAGAAATCCAACTTGGTGTCCTGTGGTCAGTGGAACTGTGTTTACTTGCTTAGACCAGTTACTTCCTCCTGCTTTATCTCAGTTTCCCAATCTGCAAAACAAGGGCCGTAATAGCTATCTCAAAGGATTGCTGAGGATTAAGTGGGATCATTAAAGAAGAGAGTCCAGGGGAGTGGCTAAGAGCATGGGCTCTGGAGCCAGACTGACTTGACCAAATTAATGTCTCTGGGTCTCAGTTTTCTGGTCTGTACAATGGGATGATGATACCTACCTTATAGGATGTTATGACATTTAAGTGAATTAATATTTGTAAAGTTTTTGTTGTTAAAAAACTAGTTAAGCTCTGGTAGGTGTGCTCAGTGGTTGGAGTGATGGCCCGTGCACTGAAGGGTCTCAGGTTCTATCCCAGTCAAAGGCACATACCTGTGTTGCAGTTTCATCCAGGCCCAGGTTGGGGTGCGGGCAGGAGGCAACCAATGCATGTCTGTCTGTCTGTCTGTCTGTCTATCTCTCTCTCAATCTCTCTCCCCTCCCTCCATTCCACTCCATCTAAAAGCAATAGAAAAACATCCTGGGGTAAGGATTGAAAAAAACACACAAAACTAGTTAATAGCAATAACCAGAGACTTGTATTGAGCATTTTGGTGTGCTCAGTACTAGGTTCAGCACTTTATATACTTTATTACATTAAAATTTCCTACCAGAGAGGTAGGTAGGCACTAGATCATTCCCACTTACAGATGTGAAACCTGAGGCCCATAAAGAGAGTTACTTTTAATGAATTCTTTTTTAAAATGGAGAGGTGAGGGAGGGAGAAAGAGAGAGAGAGAGGGAAAAAGAGAGAGAGAGAGAGAGAGAGAGAGAGAGAGAGAGAGAGAAGAGAGAGATTGGCTGCCTCTCACAGGCACCCCAACAGGGGACCAAACCCACAACCTGGGTCTGTGCCCTGCCAGGGAATTGAACCCACAACCGTCCAGTGCATGGGACCTTGCTCCAACCAACTGAGCCATACCAGCCAGAGCAAGAGATCCTTCTGAGGTCAGAGGCCAAAGCTGGGACCTGACAAGACGGCCAGGCTGCCCCGCAGGGTTACCAAGGAAGCCCAGCGTTTGCTGGCAGAGCCAGTTCCTGGAATTAAAGCAGAACCAGATGAGAGCAACACCCGTTATTTTCATGTGGTCACTGCCGGCCCCCAGGATTCCCCCTTCGAGGGAGGGGCTTTTAAACTTGAGCTATTCCATCCTGAAGAATACCCGATGGCAGCACCTAAAGTACGTTTCATGACCGACATTTGACATCCTAATGCAGACAAGTTGAGAAGAACACGTTTAGATATTTTGAAAGATAACTGGTCCCAGCACTGCAGATTCATGCCGTTCTGCCACCCATCCAGGCTGTGCTCAGTGCTCCCAATCCAGATGACCCAGTAGCCAATGACGTGGCGGAGCAATGGAAGACCAACGAAGCCCACGCCATAGGAGCAGCGAGAACAGGGACTACCAGGGGTACTCAAACTACGGCCCGTGGGCCACATGCAAATACAAATATTGTATTTGTTCCCGTTTTGTTTTTTTACTTCAAAATAAGATATGTGCATTGTGCATAGGAATTTGTTCATAGTTTTTTTTTTTAAACTATAGTCCGGCCCTCCAACGGTCTGAGGGACAGTGAACTGGCCCCCCGTTTAGGAGCAGCGAGAGCAGGGACTAGGCTATATGCCATGGAAAATACTTAAATCGATCTGATCATCAAGTGTGCATCACTTCTGTTCTGCCAAGATTTCTTCCTTTTTTGTTTGCATTTAATGGACACAGTCTTAGAAATATTACAGAATCAAAGCCCAGACATCTTTCAGTCCTTTGGTGACATTAGCAAATCTAGGTCTTGTCCTGACTCCCTGTTATAAAGCACGAGCAGAAGCTAGAAGTGCCATCTGGATTGCTATGAAGTGTTTACAAGCAGTGACCCCTCTGCTTTTATTTATTTACCCCCATCATGGTTTAGTAGAAAGCACTGTGAATGAAGGTGGCTGCCAGGGCTAGCTGCAGGGGGTGGGTGTTTTTCTTTATTTTATTGTTGTTTTGAGGGGGGAAGTTGTTTAATTTTACCTTTATGAGCGCCTTTCCCCCTGTTTACGGTGATCGGATTGCACTGGTTAAAAGCAGCTAACCAGTTCTTCACAAGAGGCCCTAACCAAGTCTCACTTTATTTAGACGCTGTAGATGGACAAGCTTGATTGTTTGAACCCAAAATGGGAACATTAAACAAACACCAGGGCCCTCACTAATCACACTGTGACTTTGCTGTCAAGTGTGGAAGCCTCCCTTCAAGAAGAGTTTGTGACCATTTTATATGGCTTGTCTGCAAACTTCTGTAAATCTTGTGTTTTAGTAAAATATTTTTTGTTAAAAAGAAAAAAGAGATTTACTTTTTAATTTACTGTAGAACAGGGAGTGGCAAACAGCCCATTGGCTGAATCCATCGAACAGGGTGTTCACTTCAATATTGTTGAGGGCTGCTTCCACACTACAATGGTAGAGTTGAGCAGCTGTGACAGAGACTGTAGGGCCTGCAAAACCTAAAATATGCTCTCTGGCCCTTCACAGGAAGAGCTTGCTGACCTCTGCTCTAGAAAGTGATAGTTTGCCTGGGACTGGACTGAACCAGGTCTGTCTGGTTCCAGAACTCGCTGCTTTTGTATCCTGTTTTTGGTTGTTTCTTTGTTTGCAATATCCCTGTGCTGGCTGCACAATAATAGGCTTTCTTTCCTGTCCCTTTGAGGGAAGTCTCCCCTTCCCTCTCCGAAGCCAGGAGTGAAAGTAGAAAGGGGTTTGGAGAGTCCGATCTCTCCATCCTCAGGCAAAATTTTGGGAGAACAGAGAAACCCAAATGAGGGAGAGAGGCAGACTGAGTAGGCAAGTTCCTGGAATCAAGGTCAGTGACTGCACCTTGTTGTCCCTCGGCCCAGGCCAGGGCTGTGTTTAGAGTCAGCTGGACTGAGACTGGAAGGTGCAGGAGTTGAAAAAGAATCCCAGGCTTGTGTAGGTTTCACCTGCTCCCAGGGACCTGTGAGGGCTCCAAACCAGTTCAGTCACTCAGCAAATACTCAGTACCGGCTCTGTGCCAGGCCCTGTTCTAGACACTGGGAATAAATAGAGACTCAGATCCCAGCTCTCCGGAGACAATGTCTCCATTAGCCAGTAACTTAATAAACCAATATTAAATCGTAACAAGATCTATGAAGAAAAGAAACCAAGCTGATACGATTGAGAGTAACTTCTAAGTGGGCAGGGAGGACCTCTCTGAAGAAGTGCCGTTTAAGCTGAGACCAAAAGGACAAGGGGCGAGCTGTGGGATGATTAGGTGGAAAAGCATTCCAAGCAGCAGGAGCAGCAAACGCAAAGGCTCTGCGCAAGAATAACTCAAATTGCGTGTTCAAGGAACCAAAGGCCAGGGTGCCCGGAGCAGAAAGAAAAAGGGCGAGAGTGGTGCCAGGTGAGACGGGGTAGGCCCTATCACATGCGGGGAAGTCAGGGCAAGGAAGACGGAGTTTATTCCAAGTGTGATGGAAAGCCACCGGGTGGGTGATGGCTAATGATGCTGATGATTGTAGCTAACATTTTTAAAATTTTTTTATTGATTTCAGAGAGAAGAAGGGAGAGGGAGAGAAGGATAGAAACATCAATGATGAGAAAGGATCATTGATTGGCTGCCTCCTACACTCCCCACACTGGAGATCAAGCCCTAAACCCAGGCATGTGCCCCAGTTGGAATTGAACCTTGACGTCCTGGTTCATGGGTCAACACTCAACCACTGAGCCACACTGGCTGGGCTGTAGCTAACATTTTTTTGAGCCCTTATCAACGCTAGGTGCTTAGTAAGCCCTTTAAATGCATTCACTCATTTAATCTCATAAGCAATCCAGATGAGGAAACAGAAGCCCGGAGAGGTTAAACCATTGGTACAAGGTTACATAGCTACATTTATAGCCCGCTGGGGCTGCAGGGGGGGCGTCAGTTGCAAGGGATAAGATCTTATACGAGACAACAATGACACAAAGACAGAGCTTGCGCTGCATTTAATGAGAGAAAAGAAAACTAACATCCACCAGGTTTCCTCCAGGAAGAGCGAGGGTTACTAGAGTTCAAACGGACTTTGCAGTACTTCCTCCTCTGGATATCCTTAGCACGTTCTCTTACACCCGTTCTGCCTTGCTTGCTTGCTGTCTGTCCCCTAATCATAACAGCTAGCATTTATGTGGTGCTCATGGTGTGCCACGCGTCATGCCCAGCACATGCACTATGCCCACTGAGTTTATTCTTGCAATAAGCTTATCGTTTCCCTTTTAGAATGAGGAAATTGAGGCTCAGAGCTGCTTACGGGAGGAGTCCAAGACTTGGTACTAAGAATTTATAGCCTAGGATTTGAACCCTGGGCGGTCAGACACAAGAGTCTAAGCTTTTAGCTACTGGGCTATGACCACCCCCCTCCCACCTCCCACTTCCCTGAACAGTGAGTCCATGGGTTCCCCGATAGAGGCCACAGGATGGCCTTCACCTTTAGTTGCCTGAAGAGGGTTAACGACAGTGCCCACCTCACAGGTTCAGAAGCCAAATGAGCTCATGTGATCTAGGGAGGCCAACGTTCTGGTTCGCCTGGGACTGGAGGGGTTCCCAGGAAGGGAGACATTCTGTTTCTTTCTTTTCTTTTAGAGAATTTTTATTAGAGTTTATTTAAGCCACGCTGATGACATCCTGGGAAGCAAGATCTCAAATGCAAGTTGGGCATGAGCGCTTGTCGCTCAATACGTATTCAACGGACGTTAGTCATTATTGCTTCTCCTTTCCTCTGTGATCAGTTTGACAACCAAAAGGTAGCAAGCACCTACTCTGCCCTGTCCTAGGAGCTGGGAACACTGCAGGCAGTAGATCTTCAGAGGGAGATGGGGGCGGGGGTGTTATTGTTCAGAGAACCTAGCTCCAAAGGTTCACACACAAAAATTCACAGTTCCCGGGCAAATGCCAAACCTTCTGGGGTGATTCCAGCAGCCTGTGTGGACTTGCTTGGACCCCGTGGGAGAGGTTGCAGGGCCCTTTCCGTCCCCAGGTAGTGACACAGAGGCAGTTGGGGGATTGTGGGTGGACGGGAGGAAAACATGTGCCTGTGGCATTGACTTTCTGGCTTGCCCGGGGCTGTAATAAAGGCCTAAGGGGCAGTTCCTTTTATCACACACATTTCGCTACAGAGGGAACTGGCTGACCCGCGAAGTGACTTGCCCAGGAACATGCAGGAGGAGATGGGCAACTGGAATCTGAACCAGCGAAGCAGGGACGGCTGGTGCCGGTGCCAGCGGGCCGACTCCTGCACTTGCCTCCCTCCACCCGGCTTGGGTCCCCCGCTTGTCTTGACAGCGGCCGGGCTTGTCACGGGGCTCTGTACAGCTCTCTCCACTCTCGGGGCTGCCAGCGTCCCGCCCCATCCC